TCGATGCATGATGGCCGAGGAGTCGAATTGTGCAACTCAATATAGAATGAATGTACATGAAAGTAAAACTAAAACCTAACTCCATCATGGATGATCCGGAGTGTCGGTGACTGGGAATTGAGACACATTCCGTCACTCGGAGTACGGAACGTACCTCGTTTCCCGTGCTCGGGCTAACTCCTATCCCGAACATGATGCAATATGCATGACATGCATGAAATGCAACTAAGATACAATCCTAACATACACAATGTTATGGAATGGCATACACAATGCAATAAGGTAATACACAACCGAGCATACACAATGCTATGGATGAAATGGCATACGCAATGCAATAATGGGCTTACCCCAACATGAGAGAGCCTTAGCCACATTCACATAGGAGGCCATCAGATGAAAACAAGATAACTCGAAATGCGTGCACGCGTGCACGCAAACCGAGGACCGACCCTCAGGCACCGAAATGCCACTCTAATGAGACATGGCAAGGACATGGAACATGATATGCAAACATGCAAAAAACAGTAGCAAAATGAGGGGAAGAAACAGCCCCGAAATAAGGCGAAATGATACCCGATGCATGGAACAAGTCCCGAAATGCAAAACTAGGTACATGAAATGGCTTACAGCTATACAAAGCATGCATAATTTGAACATGAGATGAAAATACAGAAGCAAGGCAGACCCTAGACAAGCATTTTTACAGTTCAAATCATGGCCAAACAGCAAGCACAGGTACGGCAAAACTAGCATGCAAAAATGGCCCTAAATATGAGACAAAGAAACAACTCACAGCTGCTGACCTCAAAAAGATTAGGGACCTTCAACAAAGTTGAATAGGGGCCCAAAATATGATCTTTTACAGTTTATGGCAAACCACAAAAATCAGCACAGGTGTGACTAAACTCTCATGCAAGGAATGGGCCAAAAGATTGCCAAAGAAGCAAGTAGTGGTTGCTGGCCTTAAACACAAAGGGGCCCTTCAACAATGTTGAAGAGAGGCCAAAAATAATGCATTTTACAGTTGATTTCCGGACCCAAAACAGTATGAAAATATGTCAAAAATGCTATGCAAAATATGGCCAAATAAGAGGGATATAACACAAAGTATGTAAAGGATGCCTCAAAACATGAAAGGCACTTAATGAAACATGAAGAATTGGCCAAAATAAGACTGTTTCCAGTTCTGAAAATCGCCCAAAAACAGAAGCACAATGGGCTGCCAAAGCATGCAAAAATGGGGACCAAAGAGGGTTATAATGACAAGTGGCACATGCAGGTCCCAAACAGTGATGAGCCCTTCTTCAATGTTGAAGAGGGGCTCAAAATAAGCCTATTTACAGTTTACATCATGCTCCAAAACAGATCACATATAGGCCAAAAATACTATGCAAGATTATGGCATACAAGATGGATAATGAAGAAAGTGCATCAAGAGGGCCTCAAACAGTGAGAGGCCCTTAAGAAAAAGTGAAAAAGAGCTCAAAATAAGGCCACTTTCAGTTAGGGCCGGAGCTCAAAACAGCAAGCATGCATGACTTATGTATTGAACAAAATATGGACCAAAAAGATGGAAATGGGGCTTACCCTTGAAGACTTGACTTTGGTTGCTTCTTGGCTTGAGAAGTGGTGCCTCCTAGCTGCTGGAAAGCTCTCCAAGCTACTGGAAATGGAGTAGTAGTGGTGGTGGTTGGTGGTGATGAAGAAATGAGGTAGGGTTTGGATGTTTTTTTATTTGAAAGAGAGAGATGGAGGGAGATTTGTGTACCAAAGCTTGAAGGCAATTTCTTCCAACCCTTGGACCAATGTTGGAGGCCAATTATCTGAAAATAGGGTTTGAAACCCTATTTTAAAACACCCGAAGAGTGGGGGAAAAGGACCAAGTTTTCCCCCAAAAGCTGTCCCCCGGATACAGATATTTTTGGGGGAAAACAAATACATAGCTGTAAAGTACTCACCCTGAGGATCATGGCCGGCCAACTTTTGGAGCTGCAGGTGGCCAGCCGACCACCTCCCATGGCCGGCCGGCCAAGGGTCAAAAGGGCCAAGTTGAATTAGTGGCCGGCCACTTCACATTGCTGTCCTCCCAGGTGTCCTCAACACAACCCTGTGGTTCAAAATTGCAAACTGTAAAACAAGAGAGAGAATAAGCCACTTTTAGGAGGGGTTCAAAAGGGTCAAGAAACATTAGTGGCCGGCCACCAACTTTTAGGGTCCTCCCATGTGTGTACATCACAAATATGTGGTTAAAAGTTCAAAAAAATGGCCCAAGGGTGTTCAACATTGGCTTGGAAGTGAGAAAAACGGGCGTTGGAGGGCGCCGGAGGATATATAACTGGTTGCTGAAACAATTGCTGGCCTCCCACCCTTCTACGGCCTTCCTGGTGATGAAACAGAGGTACCTGCCAAAAATGAACGAAAATCGATGCAAAACGAATGTTCGGGGGCCAAAACGCGCAGTTCGGGGCCCCGAAAACTGCCTGTTAAACACCGAAAGTGGTATTCGACCACGAAGTGGGTCTCTCAGACCTCAGTGTCCCTCAAAAGGGAGAAAATAAGATGTATACCAAAAATCAGAGCAAATGGAGATGGTTAAGCGGTCCCGAATCGAGGCACACGGCCTGACGGCTCCGAAAACCGGGAACCGGGCTCCGAAATGGGAAAAATGGCCTACAGCCACAAAATGTAGCCCACGGCCACTGAGAGATGGTCTACGGGACCTCTCCCTCCCCTCAGGAGAAGAAACAGAGAAAACTGAGCCTGGTTCGCAAATCGAGGCAAGGCACAGAAGAGGGTTCGGAAGTCTGGAGGCAGGGCTCGCAGCCGAGACTCTGAAACTTCTGAACGAGCACGATATGCAACGTCACCGAGCGCTCAATCGGTGATGTCTGAGTCTTAAGGTCGGTCAAAAATGGGGTGTCTACACCTATTTTTGAAGTTTAAGTGTGAAAAAGTGTATTTTTGGACTGAGTTTTCAAACCGGGAGTCCCATGCTAGTTTTGTAAGTTTTCACAACTCACATTGGTCCCTCCCGAGATGTTTGAAGTGTTACCCCGGCCGTCTTGTGGCTGTTACACGATTTTGGCCTCCGATGGCCTATTTTTCAAGCTTAATTGTCGCTGAAAGTACATTTTTGGACTTAGTTTTTGAACCGGGAGTCCCGTATTAGTTCCGTAAGTTTCCACAAGTCACATTTTTCCATCCCGAGGTGTTTGAGGTGTTTCCTGGGCCATCTCACGGCTGTTGCACGATTTTGGCCTCCGATGGCCTATTTTTCAAGCTTAAGTGTGAAAAAGTACATTTCTGGAATTAGTTTTCAATCCGAGAGTCCCGTGCTAGTTCCGTAAGTTTTCACAACTCACATTGGTCCATCCCGAGGTGTTGGAGGTGTTTCCCAGGCCGTCTCATAGCTGTTGCACAATTTTGGCCCCCGAAGGCCTATTTTAAGGCTTAAGTGTGAAAAATTACATTTTTGGACTTAGTTTTCAAACCGGGAGTCCCGTGCCAGTTCTGTAAGTTTCCACAACTCACATTGGTCTCTCCCGAGGTGTTTGAGGTGTTTCCTGGGCCGTCTCGTGGCTATTGCACGATTTTGGCCTCCGATTGCCTATTTTTCAAGCTTAAGTGTGAAAAAGTGCATTTTTGGACTTAGTTTTCAAACCGGGAGTCCCGTGCTAGTTCCGTAAGTTTCCACAACTCACATTGGTCCCTCCCGAGGTGTTTGAGGTGTTTCTTGGGCCGTCTTGTGGTTGTTAAATAAATTTGGCCTCCAATAGCCTATTTTCAAGCTTAAGTGTGAAATAGTATTTTTTTTTACTTAGTTTTCAAACCAGGAGTCCCGTGCTACTTCCGTAAGTTTTCACAACTCACATTGGTCCCTCTCGAGGTGTTTGACGTGTTCCCTAGGCCGTCTCGTGGTTGTTTCACGATTTTAACCTCCGATGGCTTACTTTTCAAGCTTAAGTGTGAAAAATTAGTTCTGAAAGTTTCCACAACACACATTGGTCCCTCCCGAGGTATTTGAGGTGTTCCCCAGGCCGTCTCATGGCTGTTGCACGATTTTGGCCTCTGGTGGCCTATTTTGAAGCTTAAGTGTGAAAAAGTACAATTTTGGACTTAGTTTTCTAACTGGGAGTCCCGTGCTAGTTCCGTAAGTTTTCACAACTTACTTTGGTCCCTCCTAAGGTGTTTGAGGTGTTGCCCAGGCCTTCTCGTGACTATTATACGATTTATCCCTCCGATGGCCTTTTTTCAAGCTTAAGTGTGAAAAAGTGCATTTTTGGATTTAGTTTTCAATCCGGGAGTCCCGTGCTAGTTCCGTAAGTTTTCACAACTCACATTGTCCCTCCCGAGGTGTTTGAGGTGTTTCTCGGGCTGTCTCGTGGCTGTTACACGATTTTGGCCTCGGTAGCTTATTTTTAAGCTTAAATGTGAAAAAATGCATTTTTAGACTTAGCTTTCAATCCGGGAGTCCCGTGCTAGTTCCGTAAGTTTTCACAACTCACATTGGTCCCTCACGAGGTGTCTGAGGTGTTCCTCATGCCGTCTCGTGGCTGTTACACGATTTTGGCCTCCGATGGCCTATTTTCAAGCTTAAATGTGAAAAAGTGCATTTTTAGACTTAATTTTTAAACCGGGAGTCCCGTGCTAGTTCCGTAAGTTTTCACAACTTACATTTGTCCCTCCTGAGGTGTTTGAGGTGTTCCCTAGGCCGTCTCGTGGATGTTGCATGATTTTAGCCCCCGATTGCCTATTTTGAAGTTTAAGTGTGAAAATGTGTCTTTTTCGACTTAGTTTTCAAATCGGAAGTCCCGTGCTAGTTCTGTAAGTTTTCACAACTTACGTTAGTCCCTCCCAAGATTTTTGAGGTGTTGCCCGGGCCGTCTCGTGGCTGTTACACGATTTTGGCCCCCGATGGCTTATTTTCAAGCTTAAATGTGAAAGTATTCTTCGTTATTATGAACTATGAATCACATGTTAGCCTTGTATCCTAAAAGCCAATCTAAAAACCATTTGTAATTTCTACCTGGTAATATTGCTGAATTCAAAATAGTATATTTCAAAATGATTATAAAATATCTAAAAAATAATAACAATTAATAATATAATGGTGCAGAAGATGCATTTCATATAATTGAACCTTGTAATGATTTTAGTTTCCAAGGATGCTGAAAGAGGAGTTGAGCTCGCATCGGATTATCCTCAAATATGGAACGATTAACTTAATCTTCTACACAACTGGAACCATACATAGCCCATGAGAGAATGAAATTTGATATCATCAAAACACAATAATGGACCTAAAGAGGAAATTAGTATGAAAATTGAAGAATAGTATTCCACAACCATTTTCTCAAAGAAAAAAATGACATGTGTACATGTATGACTTACCAACTTAGAAAATAATGAAACGTGTGCAGTAGGCCCTATATGTATACATGGTGCTTGTGTGGATCCACAATGAGAGATGAAGAAAACCAGTGCAATTCTCTGCAATGTCACCAGCACCACCAACCTATTAAAAGGATAACCATGCTACAATTGAACAAACACCTCAATAAAAATTTATTTCTGCAGCCAAATAGAGCAAATAAATCAATAGACCGGACTCAATTTATGTCAAGAAATTAATTAATTGTGAAAAATAAGACAGAAATTACAAGTTTTAGAGGATCAAGAGATTCATCATAAAAACATAAAACAATTGAGTGAACATTACCAAGAGCATTAAATGAAGGAAAGGTAATTATGAGACCAATTAAATAATTCAATGGAGAAAAAAATTGAGTGAACATTACCCCGAGCATTAAATGCATGGACTCAACTATTTACGAAGAACAATTGCCAAATGACTTTGGATCTCATCATGTTCACTTGAGACCTTGAAATCCAAGACCGTGGAGCCAAACGCCTGGCAAAAGATCAAAAAGAACCAAATGAGCTGCAGAGACATGGTAATGTTGGAAAAATGTATAAACCAATACATTTAAACTGGTCTAGAGCATTAGTACCAACAGTATGTGCCAATCCCATTTGGTATTTAATCCTCTCTATTCATGATCTACATACAAAGAATTCAAATAATCTCTAGAGGACTATATAGCAACAAAGAAAGAAAACAGAGAATGTTGGTGAGGGGACCGCAACAATGCAGACAATATTATGCATAATTGAATCAATGTATATCAATAAAATTTGACACATTAGATGCTATAATCCCTCACAAGATAGAGCAAAATGGATTGTTGTCATAGGGAACAGCATAGCTGACAGCTAAAAGCTAGCATTCATTACAATGGTCAGGTATACATTTAGCGAGTTCAAACTTAGGGGGGTCGGGCCTTTTCTCTTTAGCCTTCGGTGGACCAACACCAATGAGATCTGCTACCTTTCTGGTCTTCCTCACTTGGGTTGCAACTAAAACAGGATCAACATTCCCAATAACGGTTAGTATCCCCTTCTCACTATCCACCGATATCTGATCAATGCATGTTCATTCAAAATATATATAGCATCATTTTACACATGTCATAGTTCAAAACATAGTAAATTTCGACAAACTTGTCAACCCATTCTTCATACCTTGAAGTTTAGTGACGACTTCAATATATTGCTTTTGCACTTATGGCAGTGAATGTTGACTTTCACCTCTATTTTTTGCATAGAAATGCAAAGAACAAGAGCCATGAATTTGAAAGAACTAGAATGAATAATAGCGAAATTTCACTAAAAACTAGGCTTTACCTTCACCTCCATGGCAGCGAAAATGATCAAATTGAACTATATGTTCCCTCAACCTAGGATTAATGTTGGAAACCTATTTGTAGGAGTAGGACTATAAAAAATAATAATAATAATTAAATAAAAAATGTCAACTTTGTAAAGAAAGACCTTGACTTTGTTTTTAAGATTTTGAATGGTCGAAAGCAGAATATAAGGTGGTTGCACATTTAGTTTTTTATTTTTTCATTTTTTCTTTGATGCAGGGAAACATGAAGTCTATGATGACATGGAGCAAGTAATAATGTGATGTAAATGCCAAAACCGAGTGGGATGTTTGTGGAAATTTAATAGCTTAGAAAATTCTTGACAGTGATTGTTTCCTTAGAAAATTGTTTGACGGTGATTATTTTCTTGAAGAAGGGTTCAAATCCTCCTCCCGAACAGCTCATGGTATTTTACTGATGTAGACAAAGAAGTGAATTCCACAGGCCAATTCTTCCTAGGATATGTACTCAAATAACAAAATTTAGGTCACTAATGTCAATGGAGAGAGAGAGAGAGAGAGAGAGAGATTTTGACAATTCCATTATATGTATTTATACCTTTTTACAACAAAAAAGGGGGATAGGATTGAATCTGATTTGAAAGATTGGCATCTGCTAACAAACCACCACAAATCAGTACTTCAAAAAAGTCCATCACTAAATTATAATCTCTCTGTAATATTTGCATCAACAGATACTATCTTTTGGATTAGTTAAATAATGTTATTATAGTTTCAAATGGATGGATTTGAATGAAATAACTCCGCAATTATAGCTATTTGAAATCATCAAGATATATATAAAGCTAAACATTTTCCCAAACATTTGCAAAAATTTGTTGCCTAAATGAGTTTTTATCATAGACCAAAATGCACAAACAATTCAGACTAAATTGAAGACAAGCTTTGGTATGCTCATTATAAACAAATTGCAGACAATAATACCATGCTTAATTGAAGCAATGTATATACTAGTACACAAAAATTATTAAAATTTGAACACATTAGATGCCATATTCTAGAGACCACACACAAATACGTGTATGGGCAAAAGTCTCATGACCGAATGCCTCAAAGAAACCTCATAAAGAATCGACAACAAGAATGCTAACTCATTTGCCTCTTTGTTATTAAGATTTCTAAAGAAATACAAATTCCAACAGAGACATATAGGATGAAACCATAGAGGCAAATAGACACCTGATGAGACAGAGACAAGCAATGCAAACCAGAGAACAATGAACAAAATAATCCTTGCCCCTTCCAACATCCTCCCAGAAATGCACATGCTCTCCATTACCCACATTGACACCAACAATCTGATAAAATTAGACGAGAAATATGCAATTATCCACTAAGACCATTTGTTGTTGTTCTGGTGAATAAATACTCAATTTAAGAAACAACATATTAGAAAGAAACATGTAGCAGCTTGATACACCCACCAAATCCTAAATACCATATTTTATACTTTTTATTGATATTATTGCCCGTACAGATGTGATACATCAAGTTTCTATTATAGAATATAGATTTATACACACATATATATAGATTTCTACCAAAGAAAGGGCATACAAATAGACAAACCAAAACAATGAGAACACATATATATGTACATATATATATATAGAAAATGAGATACCTGGTGCGAAATGGACGGAGATTAGGGCTTCCGATGGTGTCACATCAGTGAAGCAAAACGAACAGAGAAGAGGGCTTCCGATGGTGCGATTCGAATAGAGAGAGAGGGCTTCCGATGGTGCAATTCGAACGGAGAGAGAGGGCTTCCGGTGGTGTGATTCGAACGGAGAGAGGCGGTTTCCGGTAGTGCTCGTGTGCATGTGAGAGGGCAAGGAAGAAATCAGTAAGAGGGTTTCACGAGTTCAGACTAGAGAGAGAGAGACGAGACTAGGTGAGAGTAAGAGAAAGAGTGCGAGAGAGGAGTGATTTGGGTAGACTGATTTGGGAAGACAAAACGACGTCATTTTGTCCCCTTAAATTATAGGTGACGAATTTCTATTTGTCTCTGAATTTTTTTTACAATGGTGATGAAATTTTTCGTCTCTAATATGGCACCCAAATTTTCTACCAAAATTTCCAAGGGCAAGAATCTGTTTTGCAACGAAAAATAAAATTTAGAGATGAAAAAAAATTCCGTCACCTATTATTTTTTTATTTTAAACATTTGGTGATGAAATTTTGTTTTCGTCTCTAAAAATAGTACAATTAGAGACGAAATCTTATTTTCATCACTAAAACATGTATATTTGGAGACGAAATATTTTTTCATCATGTGTTTTCGTCACCATAGACTTTTTTTGTTGTAGTGATGCATGATTTGATACAAGAACTAGGGTGCTATATTATTTTCCATCAATCACCTAAAGAGCCTGGAAAGCGCACTAGGTTATGGTGTGATGAAGATATAAAACATGTAGACAAGTGCCCTAGGCCCCTCTTTGGAGAGTGGTTTCATAGTCCCATGGGACTATTAATCCCATGGCAAATTTTCAAAACAAACATGATATTGTGAGTCCCTCCTCACTGTTAGTCCAATCCCACCTTTCATCTATGAAAACAAATAGAGCGTTGTAGACAAGTGCTCCGCTGGCTCATGGCTAGAGACAACAAAGTGCTACTTCGGTTATTTTATAATGAAAAAAAATCTTGCACCAATCACAAATAGTTGTCTCTCTTTTTTTCTTTTCTTTTTTTCTTTTTTGAATTGTTTTGGAGAAATAAGAAATTAGTAGTACTTTTTTAAAAAAAAATTATAGATTCATAATAAATTTACAAATTTTAATAATTAAAGTCATAAAATTTTTCATGATGAATATGTAATTATTACGAAAAAAATGCCACTGATTTGCAATTTTCTCAATAATTTTTTTTATACTCATGTAATAGTATGTGATATTTTTAATAAATGAGAAATTAAAACATATTAATTTAGTCATCTTTTCTTTTTTAATTACCTAATAAAGTTGAGTTAGTATGCCTCACTCATAGAAACTTTTGACCACGTGATTGATTTGCCACGTTACATATCACATGGTATTTCAAAACTAGAATAATTATGCATTGTTACCTCCTAGACACTATATGAATATGTAGATCTCACTATTTAGGCCAATCACAATAAACATTTGATATAACTTATTTGCTTAAAAATAAATAAATAGCTAAAGGTGTTTGGTTACAATTTTAGATTAGGACTTATTTGATTTTTTTCAACTCATTTGACTAGACTAATAATTTTTTTTTTTTTTTAGTTACAATTTGAAACTTTTTCAGTTTATTTAAAACCAATAAATACATACCGACAAAAAACTCATCTTTTGGCCGTAATGATAATTTTTAAACATATTTTGAATATTTGCACAACAAAAAAAAGCATGTGACCAACTTATTCAATAAAACATATTCATTTTTTTTTTCACAAATTATCAAAAGTTATACCAAACATATTTGTAACTTATTTATTTTTTAAAGTTAATAATAAAAAAAGTTACGATAAAAAAATTATACCAAACATATCATCAAAAAGTTACATTATTTTGATGTTAGAATTTTTAATATTTTAAATTACAATAATATCTCTACGTAGAGATTTCCATCCTTCTTAGTAGAAGTTAATTTTTTTCCCTACATGAAGACTTTTATCCTCCTTGTGTGAAGTTTTTTTTTTTTTTTTTATCTCTTTTGAGATCTATTTTGTACTCCGATAAACTTTATTTAATGACTTATTAGTGGAATTATAATGTATCAAGTATTATGATTTGCAATAAAAAGAGAAAGTTTATATATTTTGAATACTCATGATATAACCCCTCCCCCCCCCCGCCCAAAAAAAACAAATGCCCCCCCCCCCCACCCAAAAAAAAAGTGATGAGAAAGGGAAGATAACGTCCACTTTTTTGGAGACAAAGACGATAAAATGAAAATGTTACGATTATCGGATTGAACTAAATTTTTTCATAGATAATATACGTTGAAGGCCCTACAAAATGAACAGTTTGTATTATCGAAATGAGACCTGTGGTGGGGGCCCAAGACCTCTCAAGTTCTTTCATATTATGATGTGTATATGAAAAAAGCCAAACACAAATTTAAAATAAGATATTTAAGAGAGTGAATGATAGATGTTAGATAAATGTGATTTTTTTTTATACAAATTATAATTTAAGATTTTGGATGTTTACTCTAACTAAAATTCTTGGAGCCGCTAGCCACTAATTGTGTTGTGATCAATCTCTATTGTACAGAGAAATTCAGGTGGAAGGAATTGTTTTAGCATTGTTTTACCTGGGAGAGAGATTCCAAAGTGGTTCAGCCATCAAAGTAAGGGGTGTTGGATATCTTTTTAGTTGCCTCCACATTGGTTTAACAACAGCTTCTTGGGATATGCTTTCGCCGTTGTTGGAATTAGTAATAAATACAAGCCTTTGCTTATTACTATGAGGTTTAAGAGCCTTGGTACTCAGAGGGTAACCACAAAATGCTCTAAACGTCAAATCACAAGTCTTCCAACTATGGATTTTGGAAATTTTCCGATTAGGTATATCTCACGCAGTGAATTTCTAAGAAACATGGAAGATGATATGGAGCAATTAAATGAGGGTGGAATTGAATATTAAGCTTGTCTATTTGGAGTCTGTCAGAATTGTTTATCAGGAGAATATCAACTGGCTTTGAAAGCAGCTAAAAGATATTGCTTTGGCGAAGACGCATGGGAAGGGAAGGATTTTGTTGAGGTTGAAAAGATCGGTATCCATTTAGTATACAAGGAAGCTAAACAACAAGCAATGACTATATACAACTCTAAAGATAACAACAACATAGGTGTGTTCCATGGAGACTTGAATAGATCAGTAGGAGTACAAGTTGCTAGTAGTGCTACTACATCAAAGAGAAGACGCAACGGCCTTAATGACAATGACTACGATGCAGTAGCAAAATCCAACGAAAATCCTGGAATCGATGTTCAAGAGGACCTCCTCAACCTCAACAGCAAAAGGCTTAGGTAAGTATCTCTTATAACTCAGTTACAGGTTAACTCCAAATAAAAATGTCATCAACTCACACTTCCACTGCAAATTAGAAAATAAAGTTAGAATAGACACAACCCATTTCAAATGAGTCAAAATTGGTCCAAATTCAAATGTACTATCTAATTCATTTACACGAAAGTAGTAAACTATACCTGTGGTTTTCTAAAATATGTGCACTCTGTATCACCTTTTTTCTTCAGTTTTAGTTTTGTCTCTTTGGTCCATAAGCATATATGACGAAGATAAAGCATGGTCTTATAGTCTTTAGTGGTGAAATTAATCGTAGACAAACCATTTTGACCGCCCGCAAGACTTAGACGCTTGCTTCAAGGCACTCAATGATGAAAGTTGAATTATGCATTCGCAGCGATTCAGAATCAATCAAGCTTCCTAAATAACCTCACATCTTCAACATTTACCTTGTTTGAACCCATGAGTTTCATTTTTGGACCTTTTCTTACCCTGAGTTGAGTTTGAACCAAAAAAATAGGGGAGGCCATCAAGGCCCGGTCGTGTATCAGTGATGGCTGGCCGTGGCTATGAATGGTCGGCTGGCCTTCGATGGCGATAAACACTGTTCTAGGCGAGAGACCGTGCAACTGTCCGTTTTTGAAGATATTTATCACCTTTTGAGCTCGAATTCTATAAAACCGAAGCTCTGGGATTGTTTTGAGGGTTGAACAAAATTCTGGAAGTGAGATATACACCTTGAGAGCTCTTGACGCAACCTTCTTCCATTGCAAGTTATCTTTGAGCTAACCCAGCTTGCTTATACCACCTATATACACCATGTACAACCTTGTCTTACCACCCTAGAGCCTTGGTTGATCTTGAAGAAGTGTAATTCAAGCTTGAGAGTGCATTGAAACTAAGTTTGGAACATCAACAAGTTTACTTCTTGGAAGGCATAAGCTTGTTTTCTCTTCTCTTGCCTTTATTTCTATCATTTACTTCATACTTCTCGTTGTTTTAGATTGTTTTGAGCTTGTTTGAAGTGTTTGGAGTTGGGTTTGAAGAGTTACCAAAAGGGTAGAGAGAACTTGCTCTTTCTATACCTTTATTCATAACTCAAACCTTCTCCTTTTCACTCATTTTCTTTGATATTTACACTGATTTTTAGAGGTTTGAAAAAGCTAAAAATGATGTTTTGAAGCTTCAAAAGTGGAGGGGTTAGCCACCCCTCCTTGTCCTTGCTTACTAGCCTTAATTCTCTTTCTATTGTCTAGCTTTTCAAGCCCTTTTCATGCATGTTTTACCTCTAATTTTCATGTATTAAGGGCTATTTTGAGGTTGCCTAGATCTTTTCAATTGGTTCATGCCTTGTTTAACACACTAGTGGTCTCATAAGTTGGCATACTTTTACTTGTTATGCTTTCTTTGTTCATTTTCCATATTTGGAGTCTAAGTTTACTAATCAATCAACCATCCATATCTTTCATTCTTGAGAATGGTTTCAACCAATTGAGGTTGTTCAATATATGTAAGGGAGACCTACACTTAATGGCTTAATGTCTTCAGAGATTCATCGTCAACGGTGTAGTCTCCTTCTCATGTCTTAGAAGAACCTCTCGTTTGACATTATTTCTTGTTTAGAGGACTTTAACATCACATTTGGACAAATAGACTAAACAATGGCAATAACTAAAACAATTGGTTTAAAACTTGAATTAACACACTTAAACAAAATGGCTTAATAGCTTGAACTTAGCCGGACGTTATGCCAAGTTCTTTGTGTCAAGGGTCATCAAGCATCAA